TACATATAACGGCGCACCGGGTCCGGGCGCCCGGGGCCAGCGCCGCTACCACAAATGTGGCCTTCGGGGCCCTCGGGGAGCCCCGGGGCCTCACAGAAGGCCGCCAGAAGGCGCCAAGGAGGCCCCAAGAGGCTCCAGAACAGACCCGGGACGCCCGAAGGTCGCTCCCAGACGCCCAACATGGCCTCTAAGGCGGCTTCAGAAGCCCCCAAGACACCCCAAGCGACCCCCAATAGGGCCCCAAAGAGAGCCCCAAGGGTCCAAAATAGCCCCATTCCTTCCGTAAAACGTATATTTTAACATATTGCTTGTTTTCGCTGTCGGTCCGTGCTTGACGACCTCAGAAGCTCCCAAGACCGCCCCAATACGGCCCAGGACGCGCCCCAGAGGGCCCCAATACAGCCCCAGAAAGCTCCAGGACGGCCCACGAAGGGCCCAAGACGGCCCAAGAGAGTCCCCAAGACGGGCGGCCCCAGAGGAGGAAAGCCACCATCAAATTCCAAGCTTTCGACCCCAAGTGGCTCCAGGAGGCGCCGAGAAGCCACCAAGAAGCGCCCGGAAGGCTCCCAAAAGCACCCCAAGACGCTCCAAGAGGCACCCCAAGAGAGCTCCAAGAAGCAAGAATCGTCCCATTCCTGTGGGAAAGCGTATATTTTTCGTATGTTCGCCTGTTGGGCTGTCATCGCGTCCAAGACGGCCCAAGGGGTTCCCAAGACGGCCTAGGAGGCCCCCAACCAAGACGGGCCACGAGAAGCCCAGGACGGCCCAATGGGCCCCCAAGACGGCCCAAGAGAGCCCCAAGACGCGCCCGAGAGGAGTCCCAGAGCAAGAAAGCCACTCTCGAATTCCGCGCTTTCGGACCCAAGAGATCCCAGGAGGCGCCGATACGCCCCCAAGTGGCCCCAAGCAGCCCCCCCAAAGCACCCCAAGATGCTCCAAGAGGCACCCCAAGAGAGCCCCAAGAAATTTAAATCCTTCCACTCCTATGGGGAAACGTATATTTTCCGCATGCTCGCCTCTTGGGCTGTCACCGCGTCCAAGACGGCCCAAGAGGCCCCCCAAAAACGGCTTAGGAGGCCCCCAAGAAGTCTCCAAGACGGCCTACGAGGAACGCAGGACGGCCCAATGGGCCCCCAAGACGCCCAAGAGAAGCCCAAGAAGCGCCCGAGAGGGGTCCCAGAAGAAGACAGCCACTTTCGATTTCCGAGCTTTCGGTCCCAAGAGCCCCAGGAGGCGCCGATAGGCCCCCCAGAGGCCCCAAGAGGCCCCCCAAAACACCCCAAGACGCACCCAGGAGGCCTCCACGAGGCCCCCAAGAGGCTCATAACTTGGTTCTAATGCGCCGGCGAGAGAGGCATCCAAGATGCCATGCGAACCTTGTCTCTGGGGCCGTAGGTGGATCTTGTTGTGGGCCAAGACCCGTGTCAGGGGTGTGCCGACCCGGGTGGATGGGATGCGAACATTGCTGGGGGCCGTCGGTTGAAGTCCCTGTTCGGCACGACCCGTTCGAGGTGCGAGCCGGAATATGCGGGAGACGAGGAGGACATGCAGAAGGAGAGGAGGGACAGAAGGAGGAGGGATAAGAGGAGGGAGAGGAAGGGGCACTCGACCCTGGAGGTCTCTGGGAGCACTCGGCCCCATCTTCGATATTGATTTCGCGTCGTGGGCTCGTTTCCGAGGGCCCGGGGGCCGGGGGCCGGCGCCGCGACCACAAATAAGGGGCCAGGGCGTAATTTTCCTTGTGACCTGGGGCCAACAGGACCCCAAGAGGTTGCAGGGAGGCCCCGGGAGGCCGCAGCGATGGCTCCAGACGCCTTTCAAGACGACTCCCATGACGCCGAGAAGGCCCCCGAAGGCCCCGAAGACGCCCCAAGAGGCACCCCGAGAGAGCCCCAATAAGCAAACATCGTCGATTTCCTATGGGAGAACTTATATGTTTGGCGTGTTCGCCTTTTGGGCTTCCACTGCGTCCAAGACGGCCCAAGAGGCACCCAAACCGGTCGAGGATGCCCCCAAGAAGGCCCCAAAACGACCCACGAGGGGGCCAAGACGGCCCATGAGGCGCCCAAACCGCCCAAGAACACCCCAAGGCGGCGCCCAAGACGGGGACGAGGAACGGGAAATTCGCGCCTTATGGCCCAAGAGAACCCCAAGAAGCTCCAAGAAGGGGCCCAGAAGCCCCAAGAGGCCTCCATGAGACCCGGAAACACATATCAAAAGAGGCCTCAAAGACGCCCCAAGAGGCACCCCAATAGAGCCCAAATAAGCAAAAATTCGTCGATTTCCTATGGGAGAACTTATATTTTTGGCGTGTTCGCCTTTTGGTCTTCCACTGCGTCCAAGACGGCCCAAGAGGCACCCAAGCCAGTCGAGGATGCCCCCAAGAGGGCTCCAAGACGACCCACGAGGGGGCCAAGATGGCCCCCGAGGCGCGCCCAAGAACGCCCCGAGTCGGCGCCCAAGACGGGGACGAGGAACCGAAGATTCGAGCGTTTTGGCC